TTTGTTAGTTTGGGGGTTTGAATTCAGGACAGGTAACTCTACCACTCAAACCACACCCCCAGTCTTGCTGCTTTTTAGAGACAAGGTCTTGCTGTGTAGCCCAGGGCAGGCTTGAACTTTTGATCCTCCTGCCTTGGCCTCCCAAGTGCTAACATTAGAAGTGTGAATCACCATGCCTGCTTTAAGAGGATGGATTTTAAGAGTCTGAAAAATGTCTATATTCCACTCTCCCATTTGGTTGATGGTTTGATGGGATTGACAATTTTTAGTTGAAAATAAATTTTCATCAGTAATTGTGGTTTCTGTTTCAACATTCACTCAACAAATATTCCAGGTATACTTTGTACATAGGAGATCCAATGGTGTGTAAGATAAGGTTTCTTATGAAGAAGACAGATAATCAGATAATCAGGGCTGGTGGAGTGGCTCAAGTGATAGATTGCCTGCCTGGGAAGTGTGAGGTTCTGAGTTCAAACTCCAGTACTGCAAAACAAGAAGAAGAAGAAGAAGAAAGATAAACAACAAGAGAAATGACCAGAAACACAATTTGGCAAAAGTGCTATGAAAAATTTAGACAAGGCTAAGTGTTTAGATGCTGACTGGGACTTCTATTTTTGACGTGACGAGCAATAACACCTTTTCTGGGGCTGTGACATTTGAGATGACTTGATCTGTGAGAAGTAGTGAGTTATATGAAAATACAGGGAAATCGTATTCCCGTCAAAAGCCTTTCTAGCAAAGGAAAGCCTTTGAGGGCACATTCAAGAAAGTTCAGGAAGGCACAGGCATCTAAGTGTGCTACAGAGAGTAAAGAGTGCTAGGAAATGAATCTGGTTCTGATTCTCATTGCTCTGTAAGTGCTGAGAGGGAAAAACTTACCCTCTACCTTCTTAGGTTCTATGATGGGGGGCTATGAATTAAACCAACAAGAGACAGGTAAGGAGGAGAAAAGATGTCCAAATCTTATTGATTTAAAAAATTTGTATGCAATGAGGCATTAAAGACAGAGATTAACACTCAAGAGTGATCCTAGAGAAAAGGGAAGAGGAGAAAGGCCTCTTGGAGAGGGAGAGTCAGTGGATTTTAGAGATTCTTCAGGCCCTTAGGAGAATCCATGGGAGATTTGAGAGTTTGTGCCATGCCTGTCTGAGTATGGTAATGAGCTCTAATCTCCTGGCCAGCCAGTCTCCCCTTGTTGGTGGCAGGGAGGGGACTGACACATGGTGCTTTTTCTAGAGTCTGCTTTCAGGTTGACCATGGAAGTTAAGTGAAAGCCTTCTCCTACATTTGTTCATCCTCAAATGTCACAGCTCAAAATCATCCTTATGCCACTGTGGTTCATTCTAGATCCCATCTCACAAGTGATCTGTTTTGTTTTGTTTTCTGGAAACATTTAGGAGAGGTGGTAGATTAAAGATGACCACAAATTCTTCAACACTCTTTCCATACCTCCTCCATTTTCAGCCAGGCTCTGTGACTAACAGATAACGACAGTAGAAGCAACACTGTGCTAGTTTTTGGGTTCAGTCTGTAAGAGGTTGGCAGCTTCTACTCTCTGTCTGTTGGAATACTTATTCCTGGAACCCATCCACCATGCTGTAAGAAACTCAAGACACATGGAGAGGCCACCTATAGGCCACAGATAAGCTCTCACCGAAAGCTTATGTCACTCACCAGCCATGTGAGTGAGCCACTGTGGACATCAAGCCCAGCTGAGCCTTCAGGTGACTCTAGCTATCACAGTCGTCTGATACCAGCTGCCTGAAAGTTCTGCCCCTAAGTACGGGCCGCCATGCTGAGCCAGGCAACCCACAGCATCACGAGCAAAATCTGTATTTACTGTGCTAGGCACACACGGGGCCCTTTCAATCTGGAGATTTGCCTCCTTCAACCTTGGGAAATGTTGTTTTATTACTTCTTTGGTACTTTCTTCCTTTTCCTTTACTGTTTTTCGTTTGTATCTCTTGTGTTATACAAAATCAAGGCCATTGGTTTGCACCGAGTATGCATTAGGCTCAACATACCAAAATAAATGGAGTCACTCATGCTAAAGTCCCAAGTCACCAAACCAGAATTAAGCAGTTCTAACCTTCCAAGAAATCAGGAGATTGAGACATAAAGCCACATTGTCTAATGGGCCTGTTTCAACCAACATAAGAAAGAAACCAGGAATAACGGATATCAACCAATCAGTCACTGTTCAGTTTCTGTGCTCCTGCCTTACAAAGAAAGGAACTTTCAAATGACCAAACTGCTTTTCGTACTGTGTTTCTGCTGTCTTTGGCTCTTATCTGTCCATAAACCAGTATACTCTGTTCAGCTTATCAGAGCATTCATTCTATTTTATGGTATGAAGTGTTGTCCTCTTTTAAAATTAAAAAAAAAGTCAATTAAGATCTTTGAACTAGATTTGTTGTAATTTAGTCAACACCTATTAATTAGATGGAAAGGGTAATGGATTGATTCTTTAAGCCACTAATATTTTTTCACATTTTAAATCTTTCTTTAATTCTATTTTTTTGAGATATTTTATTAAGTTTGCCTTCGATCTCCCATTGAATTTCTTTGTTTGTTTGTTTCGGAATGTAGAAAAGGCTTTGTCTTTGAGTTCACTTTTGTCTGGTTAGTAGGCATTGGGGTAGACATTGGGCAAGACAAAAGGGTAGGTGCTACTTACACTTTTAATTTTCAGCCCTAAGTGTTGCTCACTGGGCTGCCACCAGGGTTTCAGAGCCTCTCCTGGGTCTGCAGGGCAGGCTGGATCTCAGTCCAACCCTACGCTGAGACTCCTGTGCCCCGCTGCCTCTGTCACCAGACTGCTACCCACTTTCCACATCTACTGCAGGGAGAGCCTCTGGTCAGGTGAGGTGCTCTCTACAGTTTGCTCCATTACTGTCTTTGCAAACTTTGCTACCACTTTAACAAAGTCTCTTGAAAGAAAGGAATTAAATTTGTGGTTCCATCTTCTTTATTCCTCTTCTTCACTGTACACAGAGAGAATGAACCTTAAACATTCTCTATTTATTTGTATAAATCCACCTGTTTACTGTCCTACTAAACATTACTTTGAATTATTTTCTTCTCAAAACTTTTAAATAATCAGCAGTTCTATGCATTCCCTAGGAAATGTTTTGTTTTCTTTGTGTTCCCAACATATACTACTAATTTTCTGCAAGGCTGTTTACATGAGTTTGACTTGGGTAAATATGAAACAGAAAATTGACAAAAACCCCACTTTATGAGCAAATTTTGAAACAGTTAAAATCTCTCCAAGTTAAGCAAAGTTTTTAAAAATAATTTAATTTCATTAATAATCTTCAGATCAAAAGTCATAAACAGATGCCTGGGGGTTTTCATCAGAACTGTGGAAACTGCTCTTGCTTATAGGCATCGGAGCCCTGGCTAGAGATTTTGATGTAACTAAAAACCTTTTTTATATCTCAAAGTAATGTCACCCATGTACTATGTGATGGTTCTAGTGAGAGGACCTAAAAAAGAAGTTCCTGGGTAAACACACTGGGAACAAAAGTTAGACATGATAGAAAGTCTTGTAGGAGGCCTCAAAGGCCCACCATGATGTGCCAGGCATTAAGGTGAAGAGTCTGTATGGTATCAGAGGTGATGCTGAGAGAAGAGAAGTCAGCACACACATGGTTGTAGAGGGGCCTCAGAAGTTATCCCTGTTACTTTTATGCTTCTTCCTGCTGGAAAATTTGATTTACATTGTTTAAATGTTGAATGACACAAGAACTCCAAGAAAACATTTTAATAAAATCTGATTGCCCTGAACAATTCTCTTGTCAAATGAGACTTTCTGCTTTCAGAGCATTTTTGTAAATATATTTACAAAATATATATAGGATGACCAGTTTAGGTCATCCTAGGCCTGTGAAGGAGGTGGGGCGTGCGATCAGTGCCTAGAAGGTGAGGAGCTGAGCCAAGTCACTGCTAGGGTAGGGCTAAGATGCAGCCTTCAGACTCCTCACTCACACTTGCTGGTAGATTCTTTGCTATCATAGGGTTTTAGTTATAACAAAACTGTCTTCTTAAGGAAGACAACTCAACCGAAACTTTTAAATCTGTGAAAAAATGAGTGATGGTCAATTGAATTCTGCACTCTGAATAATAAAATAATTTTGAAACATTTCTAATGCAAATAAGACTATCTTTTAAATTTCCTTTGAAAAAAATTACCTTTACATCGGATAAAATTCCTAGATTAGAAAAGGAAATACAAGAGGAAACTTCTTCCTTCCCTGTCCCTTGTATAAATTTCCAGTCATTTATACATAATGTATGGCTAACTTTAAATCTTAGAATTACATGCAAATACTAGGTAGTATATGCGCATTACTTTATACCCTCCATTCTTTTCTCTTTACACCAACTAGAGCACATTATATACACTGTTCTGTCCCCTAATTTTTTCATTTAATGATGGATCATGCTGAGTTTTCAGTGTTGGTACATAAAGACCTCTGAACCCTTTCTACCGGTTGCTTAATTTGCCATTGTGTGGTCACAAGCTTTAATTCATTAATGACCAATGGAATTTTAGGTAACTTGCTTTTAGAATTGATCTAACAGTAATTACGCTGTTCCTTTCTAGGGGAGCACATTGACATTTTCAGAAAGAACGACTTGATATTATAAAGTCAATTGAAGCTGATAAGGACCTGTTCCATTTACTAGAAGCAATTCTGATTTTATTGCTATATTTTAAGGTTTACTTGTTTTTCAAAGGGGGTGGTCCCAGCCAAAATCTAGAACTGCTCCATGTACACAAAATTGCTGCCTCCAGATCCCAGGTGAATATGGGAGGAAGATAACAGGGAGCAGGCAGCTCGCAGGTACTGCCAGCCTCCAGCTCTGTTTTCCTCCCCCTGGGCCAGAGCCTTTTGGAAAGCTGCCGCCTGGCCGGGTCAGATTGCTTACACACCACTGCTTCACAGACCAGCGTCCCCAACCTTAAGCCAGTGCACATTTATAGAACAATTCCATGTGATCCTGAGGAAGGCAGACCGCGGACGGAGGGCAGTGCTGAAAAGTTGTGACCTCAGGAGAGAGGCCTATTCGCCCCTTGCTGCTCTCCACAGTAAGAGGACACTGGATAGGTGAGTCTCGGACTGATGGCTTCATTCCTTTGAGCAGTGTGTGCCTTTAAACTGGTTCGGCTACTGAGATTAGGGGAACACACTCACTTCTCTCTTTTTGCCTTATAAAGTGAAATTAAAAGGCTATCTTGCTTCTTCCTCTCCTCTCCACATTGTCTCCAAACCAAATGCATTTCTTCTAATACATTACTGCTTACTTTTGATAGACTATGGTCCCATTAATCTAGACCTTCGGCTCTTCATTTCCAAAATGAAGGGTTGGAGTACACAATTTCTGAATTTTTTTCTGGTCTCTGAGATGGTTCTCTCCAACACAGATTATATTTTCAAGTGTTTGTGATTTTGCAAAATAATAACTGAAGAGCCCCGAAGGCTCTAATATACCAAGACTTTGTGGGATAAAGTTATTTTAAAACTTGTAATGGTGTTGACCTTGATAGGTTTACACATGTATTTTTCTAGACTCTCACAGATACCTTTTTAGACCTGTTTCTGACATTATGGCTGCCAACTTGAGCTGCCATGTGACCTGGACGAGACTGTGTTTCTGGGTTTGACTTGGTGTCATTTAAAACTGAATTGTCAGGTCAAAGCTAGAGGAAGGCAGAATTTATGCTTCCTGAGAGAATCCGTCTGTTCAGTTAAACAGAGGAGGGTGTGTGTGTGTGTGTGTGTGTGTCTGTATGTGTGTGTGTGCGCGCACTGTTTTTTATCATAAACCAGAAGGGCACAGATTAAAATTCTTTATCTCACTTAAAACACTTATAATCTATTGTGTAGTATCATCATATGTTTTTACACAAGGGGCAAAACATCCAATTTTAGCTGCTGCTTTCAAATCAGCCTACTGTCCTTTCCAGTGAGTATCTGCAGGCTATTTCGGGGTTCTGCTGTTCTCAAGTCCAACTGACAGTGCCCCATTGCTGTCCTGGGCTTCTGCCTGCACAGGAAGGCTCTGAGGACACCTTTTTATCGCACTTAATCGTGATAAACAGACAGCAACTAGATGGAAAACCCAGAAACCTGTGGACAACATTTCCAACAATACATTAGAAGAGGTTTAAATGAGATAAAGAATTTCAGTTTGTGCCCTCCTGGTTTACAAGCATGGTGAAAACCAGTGTATACATGCACACGTGCACCCACATGCATGTACACACACTAGGAATCTCTCAAGGAGAGAGTCACCCTCTCTCCAGAAGTCTACTAGTCAGATCCTAGACTGCACACAGGGAAAACAGACTGCAGTGGCTCTGATGGATAGATGGAGGTCTGTCCCAAGCACAGGGAAGGATGAGGAAAGCGACAACGAAAGACACTTTGGGAAGGAAGAATCCAGAGAGTCTCGTGACTGATTATGTGCGCACAAAGAGGAAAGAAGCAGAGGGCTCATCTAATTCAGCAAACACCTTCTAAGTGACTTAGAGTGCTTGATATCTTCACCTCCAGGACAGAGGGTACAGTGGTACTCCACACTGACATAATCCCTGCCCTCACCGCGCTCCTGGCCTAGTGGGGAGGCAGATACCAAGCAGGCAACCTCCTTAGGTGTAGAATTACTATGATGGTCCCAGGCCATTGACTGAAAGAACAAGTCCTCTACAGGGAGAGGGGAAAGCAACAGAAGGTTGGGCTTCAGGGGAAATATAGTGAATTTTTGTTTTGAAAGTGGAGTTGACTGAATAATCTAGGTAAGGATGTTCAGTGGAGATGAAAATGCATGTGGGGTAGGAGTGAGAAGTCCATGGGGACCAACGGACTCTTCAAGGAGTAGCCCAGACTAGAAGATCAGGTCCTAAGGCTCAGGAAACAGCTTTCTCACGAGGGAAGGAGGAGCAACTCTAGCAGGAAGAGCAGGACTCTGCTACACCTTGTTCAGAAAGTCCCAAGTGGAAGAGTCAGGGAACATGCTGCAGAGATGTTGAGACAGGATGAGCACTCAGACAAGGCCAGACTCTGGGGGTCACGGGCAACTTCTGGGTATGGTTTCAATCACCTACATTTTGGTGCAAAGAAACAGAAACCTGCTCTAAAAAGGGAGGGGACATTTGTTGAGCAGCCTTGGCTCTAGACTGCAGTGACTTTCACCCTGGCTTCCCAGCAAGCACCACTTCCTTCTAATCTGAGGGTGGACCAGTCTCCTGGTCTCCGAAGACACAGAGTTCTCTGCCCATGATATCCACTCCATTCCTCATTGCCTTGTCACTTAGGGGTCTCCCTTGACTGACTTTCAGGGTCCCTATCAACCATCAAGAGAGAGTATCTCATCAACTCAGTTTAAGTTAGAATCTAGTCCAAGAGCAATTAGTAGTGTCCAGAGGAGGTTTGTGTGGTGGACCAAGACCACTTGTCCATGGCAGGGGGTGAGGGAGGATGAGCTGGGGAGAGGGATGGGAAGGGTGAGGATGTATTCAGAGTAAACGGCAAAGATGAGCCTTCAAAAGCTGCTGCTCAAGTGTATGGTTTCATGGGAGCAGAGAATTAAAAGCTGGGCTGCAAGCGGTGAGTGCCCCTAACTGCATGCAGAGGTATGTTTTCCATGACCAGGGGTTTGCTGGGGTAGAGGCCAGCACAGCACCTAGTGGCTGACAGGGAAGGGAGAGGGCCAGGGCAAACAGAATCACTGGGACTGTGGAGTATAGGCGAGAAGGAAACCAAATTCACTCTAGTGCTGATCCTAGTACAATGCTGATTGCCCAATGTGGCCCATCTGGGTACAGGAGGTCCCACCCAACCCCAAGGGCAGAAAATAGAGGGCCAAGACTTCCAATGGTGGGCAGCAAGAGAACAGCTAGATACTACCCAACAACTGAACACAGGAAGCCTGCTCTTGCAGAGCTAGTCTGCATGCTTTTTGTGTGACCAGTAACTGAACTTATCCTTGGGTTCTGAACTCATCTGTGTTTAGAAGAGGTGGGTACCTGTATGTTTATAATTCTAATCTGCAGAGGCAAATTTGTTCCTGCAGTTTCAATCTTATGAAATACCATGTTTATCAGGAGAAATGCAAGTTACCACTTGTCAATGTTTTGTAAATGTTACAAATAGGAGTGTTTAAAATTGACACTGTGGAGAGAGTGGCTGTGATGAGTGAAGTCTCTGAGTTTGTGACCTAAAAAGGGTAAACTCTCGCTGCCCTCAAGTCAGGGAACAGCCTTGGCAGACTGCTCCATGCTAGAATTGGTGCCAAGGAATCAGGAGGAGAAATCAAGCTCCCACATCTGCACAAAGGAGTGACTGGTACTGCTTGTGTCTCAGTTATTTGGGGCTGCAAAGAAATATCCAGGCTCAGTCAAGGACTGGACTTCTCGGAGTAACAGACTTTGCTACTTACTAATCCTGAGTGCCAAGACTTAGGCCATGAAAGATGTATTTCTTTCTGAGTGTGCTCGTTTATATGTGAAAAGACTTTTAAAGGTATGGATGAGTGAAACTGAAGTCATTTCTAAGCGAGACCAAGATTTTCATTTTGAGGGGACATAATTTTTTTATTGTTTTTATATTTTTTATATGTGTATACATTGTTTGTTCCACCTCTCCCTCCTCCCCTTTGCTCCTCTCTCCCATGCCCTCCTCCTCCCTCCCCTCCAACTCCCCATCTCTCCTTGCTTCCAGGCAGAATTGAGGGGACATAATCTTTTTAGGTGACTCTGTGAATTTAGAAAACATGGCTCTGGCCAGGCCAGGTATGGTGGCTCAGTCCTGTGATCCCAGTACTTGGGAGGCTGAGGCAGGAGGATCCTAAGTTCCAGGCCAGCCTGGCTACACAGCAAGACCCTATCTCAAAACAAAACAACACAAAAACATGGCTCTGTATTCACTTTCTGTCATTGAGAAAACTATTTCTGGGAATATGCTTCTGCTGAAGTTGGTAGGAGCTGACAAAATGGTTTTATGTCTCACATTTCATAGCAAACAGATGAGATAATCAATCCTTGAATACTGATCTGTCACAAGATCTGTTCATGTTGGTAATATTGCTTGTTCTGCCTAGTGGAAGTTTCTCTATGTGGCATTTGTCAGGAGTGCCTCCCCCTCTCAATACCAGCTTGCCTTACTGCCCCATGATTGTCAGTGTTTTTGCAAGTGCCTTCTCATTTAGCCTAACCAAAGAGATTCAGGTTGATATATATTGATTCACAGATGCCAGCCTTGGAGAAGCAGCTAGATAGAGAAGGAACAATGTCCAAGGGAGATCAGCCATTAGTACTTTAGCAGATCCCAGGAGGAGGGAATTTGGGAAGTTATCCTTTAGGATAAGTGAATTTATTTCCTTTTCCTGCAAGATCAGTCATCAGGTGTAGTGATCAGACACATGGTACTAGAAACCAAACCAGAGAACGGATGGAGAGAAGGGCTAAGCTAGAAGTTGGGAAGCCACACTTAGATTCAAGGTCTGTTGGAGACATTGGTCCCTTGTTCTAAGTGCAATAGGGAAATTCAATTTGCAAAAGGAAATCAAAAGTAGCTGACTGCAGTAGCCTCAATTACAGGCAGATTGTCTTTTTTTTATTATTCATTTATTCACATGTGCATACATTGTTTGGGTCATTCCCTCCCCCTGCCCCCTGCCCCCTTGCTTCCAGGCAGAACCTGTTCTGGCAGATTGTCTTGATGTCTGCTTAGGAAGGGATGACCTAAGTCCACAGGCCACCATTGACAGGACAAAGATTAGCATGGCCAGGACTGGCTCAGGAACTGGAGGGGGGCCCACTCATAAATGAGAGAGAGAGGATTTCTTTTCCTCCATCCTCACATCGCTTTTTTCCTTCTATAAGATTTCATTATGGACTTTCCAAGCACACACAGAGGTAGAGAGAATATTGTAAACACCTTCACATGCTCCTTGCTGGTTTCTACAGCTATCTGCACATAGCCAGTCTTATTTATTTCCCCACTTTCCACTAACATCTGCCTCCTCCTCACTGCCAGACTGTATTAAAGCAAATAATTCAATAAGTAATATGTATGTGTCTCTAAGAGATGATTCTTTTCATATG